GCAGTTTCTACTGTTTCAATAAAGACCTTGTTTTGTTTCTTTCTTCTTTAATCACCACAGAGGTCATCAGTGTGATTTGTTTGTAGGATCTTATGATGTAGTCAGGTCACTGTTAGTTATACAGCACATTTGAAACAACAGCAACTGAGTCAAAGTGCTTTCCAGTAGAGAAGTAAACACAATGTCACTAATTTGCCTCACAAGTTTAAATAATAAGAACCTACAATATTATTAATGAAATAAAAGTGCCTGATGAATTCAAATATTAAGTTTAAGACCCTATCATAATGTATAAAACAATATAAAGTCAGTAACTTACTGGGTTAGGTTAAAAACCTACAATATTATACACAGAAAACCCAACAAATCCAAAGATTCTCAATGAGACTAGGTTAGATTAAATTATAGTGTTATTACACAGAGTACGCTTATTAAGCGAATGCAGTTCAGCATCAAATCATAAGTGCAAAAGAAGCAGTAAAATTGAATTATGCGTGGTATGGGTGTCCACAGCATGATACAGTATAAACAGTACGAACAATGTGGTGTGATCATTTCAAGCATATAAATAGAACAAGTTGTAGATGGCAATGAAAAAATAGATAAGTATACATATGAAGTTAAGAACAAATGGTGGCATGACTAAACAGTGTAAGCTTTACTACTGCTGCGTGGATGTGCTAGACGAAAGTTGTGTTATCACAGAGAAGTATTTGGAACATTAAAAGTCAGACTATGTTCAGTTCAATTATTCAATTTATGTAATTCAATTTAAAATTATTCTGTTTGTGTAAAAGCAAAAAGAGAAGATTTTGCAGTTTTTGTTGTTTTTCTCTACATCTGGACCACATTATGCCAGGTGCATACATGCAGTTGTGAACAAAAGTTTACATACATTTGTACAGAGCATGTACAGCGGTGGAAAAAAGTTTTCAGATACCCTTAAAATTTTACAAAATGTCAAATGTTATCATGAAATGTTGGTGGAAAAATGTTTTCTGTCTTTCAAAAGGTGTGGCTCATTTGACAGACACAAACAAATATACATTTTGTTTTTGGTTTATTGTTTATAAGAAAAATAAAACAAAATTTTTGACAGTTTCCATCTGTCAATTCTCAACATTGTCAGTATCAAAGTCAACAAATAGCAGAGAATTTGTTCAAAACTGAACACAACACCAATAAACCATCACATCAGCAAATTAATATTTAGTTGTCCTGTCCTGCCATCAGCATGCAGTAGAGCTCTAATTCTGGCTGGCATACTCCCCCCCCCCCCCCCAAAACTTGAGTTGATGGGAGGTAGTGGGAGAGTAGGCTTCCTTAACTTCTTTCAAAGTGAGTTGCAGGCCAGCCCTGACTGAGACACAATCATTTATATGCCAGGGCATTGATACGACCCCTGATGACATTCCAAATACTGACTCAAGTGAAGCGGTAAAGCCCACAAGTGCCTTTGACCCACACACTGACACTTCTGTAGGCTCAGTACACATAGACGAAAGTATCTACAACCCATTACACATCCAGAGAGCAGTGGTCGAACACATAATTCGTAATGAGGCAACTCACGCACCACTTGCGTTTGCAAAGATACGCACTTTCTCAAGCCGACTCCCATGACCCAATGGTGAAGTTGATTATGAGAATTGATTATGTCCTGGCCACCGATACATGCCAGGACTTCCCCTTCTTTCCAAGCCAGTCGTGCTGCGTTTCTCAAAAACTGGTTGGAATGAACTTCATGGCCCAGTCCACTATGAGCAGCATGTGCAATGGTTTCAGGTTATCAATAATTTTACTCTTGGCCTCGTCCTGGTGAACTGAACAGAGAACGTGTGACTTCCAATCCTCTATGCTCGACGCAGCGCAGCTTGAATCAGGCTGTAACTCGTCTGGTTTATCAGGACTGAAAATGGATTATTTTACAGCCAAATGCTTTTCTCCTTTTTAGGCATATAAAGCAACCAGAATTGAGTCGTAAGTATCAATTTATTTTCAGTAGAACAAAGTCTTTTTGATAAAGTTGTCTGTATCAAGATGCGATGTCAGGCGTGCAAGTTTCAAGCAAATGTATTATTCCGTTATTAGACGAACAAAAGCCATCCATCCATCCATTCTCTTCTGCTTATCCGGGGTCGGGTCGTGGGGGCAGCAGGCGGAGCAGGTCGTCCCAG